ACTAGAAAGTAAACCAACACCTCAAAATTAGTTCATCATTTGGGTACGTTTCAAGCTAACGTATAAACAGTCAAAGTGAACAAAATTAAAATACGCATTGATATGGAAGATATAGTCCAAAGCTTTAATGCTCGTCACTATCTACATCTTCAAGTTCACTGCTCTAGTGCTCTCAGCTTCATCATCTTTGTTCCATCGATCCATACGCCATCAAAGTTAAAAATGTTAAAGAAATTATAAAATATAGAAGCATACATTTCATATTCTTCTATCATAGTATATTATCTGAAACTTTCTCCAGTAGAAGTCCACCATCGCAGAGCTAAGGTTGTTCTATGCAACTTCCCCATCTTGGATCGAGCCTCCGTTGGAATGTAGAAGAGATGATTCGAGCTCCCTCCTCCGTGATGACAATACTGAATGATATTATAATCACTATATATATATATATATATATATATATATATATATATATATATATATATATATATATATATATATATATATATATATAAAATAACCTGCCAGAGCAATCAAAGATTGCAACCATCGGTCTAAGGTAAGTGGTATCGTTCTGCTCATCCTCCATGAACTTGTCTGAGGCCATGCTCTCATCATCGTGCATCCTGGACTCATCGGTGGAATCTAGGTGCTCGCCTGAAGAGGTGCTGGCAGCATTCGTTTTGTGCGTGCCAGTGGGTGGCGTGGCAAACCTCCTATGATCAGACAAAAAGAAGAGCTCGTTGCATACATGAAACTCACGTCGTCATAATCACATCTTGTGTGAGGTCTCAAAGCTTAGTTTCACAAAACCTGAAGCTGTTGTATGAACATATACAACGTGTGTTCATTGTGATACTCAGAAGTTGATACTTGTTATTCTGGAACTGGGCTGATAGAATGTCCCTTGAAAAGGATCTTTGAAAACGTGTAATAAGTCGTGGAGTAGATGCAAATAGATTTTATCACTAAGTCATTTGTAAGAAAATTAAGTTAGTGGATTACATAGATACTATTTTGATTGAAGGTGTAATCTTTAAGATGATTTAGTGGAGGACTATTACACGAATGTGGCCCTCATATAGGTAGGAGGTTTTGCTCTGAAGTTTGTAAGAATATTTTTGTTTCGTTTAGTTCATTCTCACTTCTGTATTCCTATAAGCGACACGGAGGGTGTTACAACACCCTGCAAGTCACATCTCACTGTCACTTGTGTTGTAGCATCTTTGTATCACTTATGTTTGTTCTATTCGTGTGTGATATATAGATTGGTTTGTTTGGGTTTCTCATTTACCCTCCACAAAATTTCAATTGGTAATGATCATGAGCGATATAGAAGAAAGGTACAAACATTTAACGACCACAACTCCTTTGTGGGCCAAGCTACAATATTTGGAAAGGTCGCATGAGGGCTTTTCTCAGATCCCAAGGTTGAAAAGTTTGGAGAAGCATTGAGGCTGGATGGACTGAGCTTGTCAAAACTAATGTTGAGTGAACTATAAAAGTTGTGAAGATTTTTGAAGAACACACCAAAGGAGAGGTTTATGTTGTTGACTGTAACGATAAGGCCTTAAACGCTTTGTTTGGTGTAGTCGATAATTCTTAATATAAACCTACTTTTAGTTGTAATGAAGCAAAGAAATCCTAGGAGATTCTGGAAAAACCTCTTGAAGGAAATATACGAGTGAAAACTGCTAACTATCAAATTCTTATGATGAAATACGAAAATCTTCACACATGGATTACAAAAAATGAATAACTAGGTTCCATAAGTGAGTAAGAGAGCTTGCAAATGAGGCTAAAAATTGAAAACCCATTCACGGAAAACACCCTTCTTCTCAAGGTCCTTAGAGCCTTACCCGAGATCTATGATGTGGATGCTAAATTCATTCGACATGAACATGATATAAACAAAATGACTTAGCATCCAATGAGGAATTTCAGAAATAATTATCCCTCTTCACCAGACAACTTAAAAAGCAATGTATGCAGAAAAAGTAAATCTTCACATCTACATAGAGGGATGATGAGCGAGATTCAGAAGATATTAGAGGAGAAAGCAACTATGCTTTTACTTTGCAAGTTGACAAAAAGGATGTTGAAGATGAAGGCAAACAACTTGCAATTTTATAAGAAACAAGGGTTGAGTGGTTAATGGTTAACAAAAGGAATATCTTGAATAAAGCCAAACTTTCCTCAACAATTAGACAAAAACTTGACGAAATTCTCATAAAACTTGAACATGTTGAAAGAGAAAGATATAATCTTAGTTACAAGGTCAAGTATAATTTAGTTAAAATATCGTGATTTAATTTTTAACTTTACAAGATAATTTGTGGTTTTGCTTATATATTGATTTATTATTTAAATTTTAAAATATATTATTTCTAAATATCTACTATGATATGTTATTTTCAATTCAGTTATAAAATACAATTGAACAAAAAATGTGTCACGATGGCATATTATGTTTACAGAAGCATTCTTTACGATTTTAATATTATTAAGCTAATTTAATTATGGAACAAAGATCATGACTTTTATTATACTCCATAATATATTTTATAAATTTATAATTTTGACTTCATTTATAATAGAATTATCAATGAATAAATAAAAAAAATTCCTTAATAAAAGATGCTTTGTTAATCTCTAAAAAATTTAATATTTGTTTATGATATACTTAAATGAAGTTAGATTTTATTTTTTATTTAATAAATGATGTACAATAAAAAACCAAAATATCTATTTTAATCTCTACATTAAAATATTACAAACGACTAGACTCTTTTTAAAACGATCAAATATTTAAATTTAAAAAGGAAAGCTTTCCCGGGCTTGAAAGATTTTGTATTCAAGCAAAAACTAGAAAAATTTAAATAATAAAATATCAAATAGTTAGTTAATTTCTATTCAAAACCATGGGATCACTAATATAATGTTTTTTATATTCCTTTCTTTGAATTAATGCGTGGAGTAGAATCATCAGATTTGTAATGATTTTTTAAATTGATTTTTTGAATCATAGGATTGCTAATCCAAGATTTTAATTTTTGAATTATGCGAGAACGAAAAATCATATAGAGTATTTTTTTAATCAATGTGAGCGATGAGAATCATATTAATGCGGGAGAGTATTTATTTTTATAATTAAAACTAATGTGGCGATGCGAGATCGAAGAATCATATTCTTTGAAACATAAGATCGACAATCTTGTTTTTTAAATTAATATAAAGGTGAAGAATCATAGGATCACAAATAATTATTTTAAGTAATTTGGGAAGAGAGAAATCATATTTTTTAGATCAATAAGAGAGAGAAGAATCATATTAATGCATAGAGATGTATTTAGATTGTAATAAGGACTTTAGGTCTCCCCCAAATATGTAATGTAAGTTTTCTTTTTAGAAATATTGTTAAAACCGAGTTCATGAGATTTCCAATAAAGATGTGATATTTCACTCTCTGGTTTGATGTCAATGTTTGGAGACTTAATCAAATTCAGTGATTTGGAAATTGGATATCTTGATCGGATATGTCAGAGACAAGTAAGGAATTCTCAAAGCAGTTGATTACTTTGAAGATCCTCTATTCCGGAACACTACATGATAACTGGATGTCTCGCTTCAAACCGATGAAGGCTAAGTCATCAAGATCGGAAGACTAGCGCGGATTTCTTTCTCACCCGGAAGTCTGTAAATGACCGGAATTCTCATAAGCAAGTGAGATAAGGAGTTACAAAATTATCTAAGTTTTGAATGAAGATATTCTACCCGTTGGTAAGGAAAAATCAATCTTTTGATTTTCAAATGCTAGATTGGAGAAAATTATGCTGATTCAAGAACAAATGACTTAAAGACAAAGTCTGGACCTCTCAAATTGAAGAGCTCGCCCAGAATTCCTAAACAAGCACTAGAAGACAAATTGAGTACTCCACTCAATAAAGAGCGACAGTCCAGAATTCTTGAACAACAGCTAAAAGACAGATTCTGTGAAAAAGGAATCCCTCCTCAAACAATTGGGTACGTCCAAACACCCATTCCAATGAAGAATCTTCAATCACAATTTTCATTCAAAATTGAAGCCAGCAAATGCAATAGATAGTCTATTTTGATTCAACGGATAGATTATCCAATCCAGCTATAAATAGCCTCCTTGGAAGACCGGAGAAAAATACCTCATTGATCATCAACCTAACATCAACAAGAACAAAAGCTATCTTATTCTGTAACGCCACAAAATATGGCCTAAAATTTATTATAAAACAAAAGTAATTTTTGTCCAATAAGAAATGTCTGTATGTTTGACTAAAAATAAATGGATTTTCAAAATAATGACTTTTTATTAAAAACTTACTTTTATGGATATGTCTCGAAGAGACGAATCCAACGGTACATTTTAAGAACCAATCTGATTTATAGATTTCAAGTTATGTCAATTTTAAATATTAAAATTTGTAACTTTGACCCATAAAATAAACTCAATTCAAAAGTGATTTTATAGGATTAGAAATCATAATTTTGACACTTGACAACACCATATTTATCTTTTGGATTTAATCCATATATTTTTATCTCATTCATATTATAAAATTAATTTATGACAGAGACAGATCCAGACATTAAGAAAAATAAAAATTATCAGAAAAATATTTTGATTACGTCAAAATTCTAGTTTTGACAGTCTCATTCCAAAAACACAATTCGTTTTTAATTCGGAGCAGTTTGGGCAAAAAAGCGCGTACCGTTTGGAGTAAACTGTTCAATTTTGGCTAAAAGCCAAAACTTAATTCTCAAATATCTCCCCAAATCACGTAGCTAACCAAGGGATATCTCACAAGCCTATTTTTCAATCTCCTCCAACTCCATTAACACAAGCCTCCAAAATAATCATATAATACTCCACCACCATCTTCATCATTATACCTCATTATCATCTTCCACCACCACCACCATCATCATCTCATCTTTCCTCTCCCATTTCCTCTCTCTGTCGGTAGTCCAAGGAGGAAAAACCAAGAAAGGTAAAAACTGAAATTTAAGGTAAAAACAAGAAGAAGTATCAAGGTTTCCAAATCTTAAGCTCAAAAACGCAGCAGCCACTTTAAGGTAAAAACTGAAATTTTCCATCCATTATCTTGAAATACTTCTTGAACCAAATTTGTAGGCCCGAACGATACGAATCCAGCTCAACAAACGGCTCGCGATTTCGTTAAGTAACGAAGAAGAGATGGCCAAAATACCGGGACTGCGCCAGTGGTGGCGAGCTCCTCGGGTTGGCATGTTTTTCTTCACCAAAATTCATATTATTTCATCCCAAATACTTACCATAAACTCTCTAACAATTATTAGGAACATCCGGAAGGTATTGCAAAGAAATTTTGGCGTTGGAATGTTGAAGTTAGTGAGTTAATCGTCGGAATAATGTTCATCGACATACCCGAAATTCTGGACAGCAACTTTCTATTGACTTCAGGTCCGATTTACGCTATCTTACATATGTTAAAACGAAATACTTTCTATACGAAAGTTGTAGCCTTACATCTTAGGAATCCACAGAATCAAACGGTTTGCAATTTCGTGAAGAAACAATGGAGATATGCCCAAATTACCGCAGGTTGTCCAGTTGTGACGGAAATGACAAAGATGGCGAATTTCGATGTTGTTTCCACTCCCGCTCATCCGTAAGGTTTAGGCTTATGATTTCCAGGTCTGTACCCTTGCGTTAGACTTGTCGAATCATTCATTACATACGTACATGAACATATATATTAATCCATATGTTGAAACCATCCCAAAATATATATGTGATGCATATATAAGTCATCTATATGTTGAGATCAAAATACACCAAATCCATAAAGTTAATGTTGGTCTTATGGGGGACCATCGATCACCCTTAGGGATTCGCTACTGTGCTAGTCACGGTATCGGGTACTGACAGCCCAACCTGACGAGGTACACGAGTCGTGTATCTTGCGAAGCCCCTCTTGTCCATCCACCGCTCAGTAGTGGGGCTCCGCACTGCCGTAGTGAACTATAGGGGGTGCCCTATATGAATCTACCTTGGCTTGGGCTACAGAGAGATGTGGTTAAATACAAAGTGTCCACCTTCCTATCACCAATTGGTTTTAGGAAGCATTTGGCACCTCTTTAACTTCAGAACTCTGTAGTTAAGCGTGCTAGAACGGGAGTAGTCCCAGGATGGGTGACCCACTGGGAAGTTCCAGAAAACGATCCTACAGTTAATATACACATAAGTAAATATAAACTTTGGAAATCAACCCAACAATATGTATAGATTAATAAAAGGTGTTTAAAAGACTTAAAGAAGTATTTTGGACACTCAAAATATCAAGAGAAAGATTCGCAGACCCAAACGGCTGACACAAACGGTCGACCGTCATATTAAACTTCGAAACGGACCACTATTGTCAGCAAAACGGTCGACCGTCGCCAGCCCAGCAGAACGCCGCCGTTCCAACAAGTCAACAACGGTCGACCGCCGGTTAACCACGGTCGACCGTCACGGTGATCCAGAAATCCGACGAGTTGAAATATAGCATGGTCGACCGCCGTGCTAAACGGTCCACCGTTCCGAGCCCCGTAGCTTAATTAAATGATATTTTTATCAGATTTCACCCAAATAAAATAAAGTATATTTATCCTAAGTATAACAAATGTTTAACAAGTATAGTATACTGAGTATAGTAGTGTGTATAACATCGTATAGTATAGTATACGTACGCATTCTCTAGTACGCATTAACGCAGAGAATATCGCACTACACGCCCTGAATGCAGTCCGACATCACCCGTTCCGGGCTTAGTGTACGTACATGGTATTCAGGTTTCGAGTACCACCCCTTTATAGTCTCACCTCATTCGTGAGACTAAGGCCGCGTGAGTTCGTCGTACAAAATGGGCGAATCTCATAGCGCAAGGGTGTCCTTGCTCGTTAGAATCATACATCATGTTATCATCATCAAGTACATTGATTACATAGGTGTCATGTAATCATCATCAAGAACAATCAAATGGATTAAATGTGAAATCATGTTACCATCATCAAGTACATTGATTACATAGGTATCATGTAATCATCATCAAGAACAATTATATTGATTACATAGGTGTCATGTAATCATCATCAAGAATAATTATATTGATTAGATATGCCATCATGTAATTATCATTAAATATTTATCATCATGAATCATCAAATTGACCATATGATATAATGTGCCATATCATGAATATTATTACTATACATTTGTGGACGTATATATATATGTATATGTATATGTCTGTGAATCATTCTACAATTCTAGTGTGGTACCACTCAGCGGTTTCGCTGAGCGTGTAGTTTGTATTTTTCGTTGACTACACGTAGGTAACAAGAAGACAATGATGGAACCTTTCCCGGAGGGCATTGAGTCAGAGGAGATGCAAGGATGGCAGGCAAATGTTGATCATCATATTTTTAAATGTGTCATGATTTGATTATTATTGTACTTCCGCATTACTTTGAATTTTTTTTTAAATGGGACGCGATCCAGAGTCTGTAAATTTAATATTTATAAGTAATTGTCATTTTCGAATGTCAAGCAAAATTTTTATTTAACTCTCGTTTCACCTTAATTCGTGTAATTCCGGGTTATACGGATTGGGGTGTTACATATTCACAGTTAGCCAAAAAGCTTGATAAAGAGAGAATTCTAAACTCCTTATCGAGAAGCAAACTTCTCCTCCTTCCAAAGAGCTATAGTGTAAACACTTGAAGGTTTCCTTGCCTCAAGTACAACATCACGTTGAAGGATACATCTTTTAATCAAACTTCTTGATTAAAAAGGGGGAACATCAACTTTCCTACAAGTTGATCTTGCAAATCCTATTGTTCGGATCTTGCAGTTGTTGAAGAAGCTTGACCTTCGAAGGAACAACAAAGCCAACACGAGTGCAGTAGCAACATTGGCCTTGCGAAGATATACCATGCAGAAATTCACACAAGTGTAACTGTTGGTTCATCATTCAACAACCAACTACATAGTGGATTTTGAGGATGTAGAAGGATTACCCCACCTTCGAACCTCGTTAAAGTTTGCGTGTCTCTCTCTTTTATCTTTACTTATACTTGCAATTATATTAACTATGAAAACTAACTCATCCATATTGATTACTGCTCTAATAACCCACCAACTTCCGCACACAATCTAAGGTTCACAAGAACTCTAGATTAAACACTCATTTTCACATTTTCAAAAGAAACAAAAAAGTTTTTAATTTATAACAAAGTATATTCACTCCCCTCTAGACTTTGTATCTCACCACTTTGGGACCACCAAGATGAATCACTTTTTTTTACTAATCTAAAATCATGTAGGGGTTGTGAGGATTATATTTTTCGTTCATCAATGACGATTGTATAAAAGTTGAGTTTATGAATGATAACAAGTGTTGGAATTCTTAAGCCATAAAATAATTTTAATTTGAAAAAAGTTGTACCCGATATGTTATTGAAGAACATTGATTAAACATCTGAATTATATAACATCAAGGATCTTTTGATCCATGCCTAATTTGACCTTAAATTACCTTGGCATTTTGGGGCACCTATACCTACGGTGCTCCATTGGAAAAGTTGATGGTTCCTTCCCCCTAACCCGCGTCCCACTACACTCCACCCCAGCACCCCTACCTCCATAGATCACCAATTGGTAGGGTCCAATAGTTTATGGTGCGTAATGATTCTAATTAAAAGTTAGGGTCAAACATTGACATTAATGGAATTATTTTTAACCAAAATATTATTCACTTACAATTAATTTTATATTGATGTGTTGCGAGTGAGGGTAAAGTAGAGTTGAAAGTATTAGTTTTAGATGTCTTTGATAATTTTTATAACATCACACAAAAATGTTATATACATCAAAATCTTTCAAATTGTTCTAATTTAAATAAGACTTTGACATATTAACTTTCAAATGTATTTAGTAGATTTTCCATTAGTAAATGTTATATGTTTTATCACTATTGTAACTCTTAAGGTCGATATTTTAATTTTGTTCGATTTTTGAAAAATGTAATAGCAAAAATCATTTACAAACTCAAAACAAAAAATTTGTTCCATCTCATGTAGCCCTGAACACAATCCAATCCGGTTCCAACTCTAGAATTGGCGGTTCCGTTTCTGCCAAGAGCAACACCTGCCTCCCGTGCCATGATCTTAGCGGTGACGGTGCCAATTTCAAAAATGGCAATTCTGGTTTTATTCTTATTCCTATTTTTTTAATTTAAATAATTCTATATGCTAAAAACTTTATCTAATGTAGTTGTTTTTTATTAATAATCAGAGTTGAATAATACATAAGTCTCAACTACATTTATTGCCCTGACGATTCAAAAAAAGCGACGAGTTAAAAACTTTAAAGAAACCCTCGAAGGAGCTTATAATAAATCGTTCACCTAAAAAACTAATTTACAAATATAAATTAATAGTTAAGTAAGTCACTTATTTGAACTACTACTTTCCTCTGTCGTTGCATCCATGCACTTATTATGTGCATTTATCTCGTACCCTGCCTCTTAACAGCGATGTCTAGCCAATATCCAATCCCATTTGTGAACTAGTGTCTCCAATGATTCAGCGCTGGGAGTACTCCGGAAGTTGGTCAAAAATTTACCGCTAGAACTGTACTCATGCTCTACGGTTATCATTGACACACCACCATAAATAAGTTCTGTCTAGCTAGCATATTGAGTGACGGGAACATGTGTTCATTCCTCTTAGTACATTGCAAGAAATGTACCACTCAACATCCTATATAGAGAGAACTACGTACAAGAAATGATTATAAAATTTAATTTATATTTCACATACTTGTGGTCTTTTGGGTTGGAATTTCAGAGTTGAACGTTGGAAGAAACTGGAAGGAGTTAGAAGAAACTCGAAGAAATGGACAAAATTCGAAAGAGTTGGAAAATGTTAGAAGAATTTATGTGTTAAAAAGTTCCTCAATTAAATACTCACCTAAATACATATGTATGGAAACTCTAATTTTCGATGAAAAGAAATTCACCATTCTTTGTGTTTGATGTGGTATACTATAAATTTGGATATATAATGGTATTTTATATTTATCATATAAAAAATATTAAATCATGGTTGGAAAAAACTAGAAAGAGTGGGAAGGAACTAGAAGAATTTAAAAGAAACTCGAAGAAATTGAAAAAAGTTGGAAGTTAATTTTTTCCATTCCAAAATATTTAACAGAGTCCAAGGAGAAAGAATGATAACAAAATAATATTTTAATTCCTTTCTAAATAGTTTGATATTCGTCTACATAAAATTAAAAATTCAAATAAGAATACAATTTACACACATAATAAAACTTGAACCAAATTTTCTAAATAAATTTAGTATTTAATGAATAAATATAAATTATTATTATTTTTATAATATATTAGTATATATGTTTGATTCAGGATTTTCAGTATGAGAAGTTACTTCATATTGTTCACAAATATCATATCGATCTTTTGATTTTTTATCAGTGTCTTTCGGTTTGATATTCTCGAAGTCATTGTAAAATTTGAGAATTCGTTTGGTACTTAGTTACTCTTAGACATGAAAAAGTTACATATTACATTAAAAAAGGTCGTCCATAAGCCAAGTAAATTTTAATTTTTTTTATTTCTATGCTAATTTTCAAATAACATATTTTTTTGAAATATTAGATTTTACGTGTTGTTGAAGTTGAGATTATCATTCTGGAAAAACACGGTTTGGAAATTGCCTTTTCAACCCTAGAACAAAAGGCCCGTCTAGCTCAGTTGGTAGAGCGCAAGGCTCTTAACCTTGTGGTCGTGGGTTCGAGCCCCACGGTGGGCGTTGTAGATTTTTCGAACTTATCAAATACTTTTTATCAAATTATAAAAAGCATTGGGCTTATGGGCCTAAGGCCTGCCAAAGTTTTGTGTGAAGAAGAGAGATTTTGTGATTTTTTTAATTTTTCTTGATTTTTTTCTGTGATACTTGCTCATGCATAATAGTGTCAATCTAACACCGGTATCAAAATATTTTTACCAATTTTTTAACTTCTTCCGTCTAAAAAAG